TTTAAATATCTTAGTTGAAACTCTAAACAAAAGCGGCCTGACTCTTAACTTGGAGAAGTGGATGAAGTTGACAACAAGGAAACAAAAATATTGATGGGGATGACGTAAATAAATATTTCTCCCTTGTTTTGTGGTTGGCTGATACTACAGAAAGAGGTAATAGGTGCCACCTCTTCCTTGATACTCGGTTCTCACTCTTCTGGAGCCGATGGCTTAATTGCTGTTACAGAAGATAGGACACTTCCTGAAAGATTCTGACCAGTACGTCTACTCCATGCACTGTGTGCACAAACTGTTGTTTTTTCTCCAAATTCCATTGAAGAGGGAATTACTGCCACCATTTCTGTTTTATTTTAGAAAATGGAGTGACGTTGCGTAAGAAAATATGAAAAATGCAACAGACGTAACAAACTGGTTATGATCTAGTAGTGCTTCCAAGTGAAGTGCACTCAGAAGTAGTTTCAGTGAAGTAGAATACTTACAGTGGTGACTTACAAAGAGTAGGAGATTGGCCATTCGTTCAAAACGGACAGGCTTTAAGTTGTGGCATGTGAAGCAAGGACTTCTTTGCAGAGTTTTATAGGGTGACTTTTTCCATTAGGAGGAGTCTTTGTTAAGTGAATCAAAAGCATTCAAAGAGTGCTGGCTGGAGAGAAGAATGGATCTAAAGGAGAGGTGGCCAAGAACAAAAAAGTTCTTTTGAAGTAGGGACTTTTAGAGGTTTTATTTCTCCTAGTCTATGAAAAGTTAGAAATGGCACTTTTTGTGATTGCTTAGAAAATGTAATTGATCAAATGACTGTTACTTCCTAGCCACAGAAGGTGTTAAATATATTAAAATTGTTACAGCAACTTCGAGCCAATATGAGAGAGATGGAAAAACTTTGTTTGCGAGTCCGACAGGAAGACATCCCAGTTCTGCAACGGATGATAAATCCAGTGAAAGATGAAGCTTCATCTGCCATAAAACACTTCCTGCAGCTCCATTCTGAATCTGCAGAAGAGCTTAAAAGGCAACTAGAAGGACAGGAAGATGCCTCCTTAACCAGATCTGCAACTGTGGGAGGAGGTAGTAGAATTTCATGTCTGTATCTATTGTATCTATATCGTTGTGTCCATTCAGCACTTTTGACTAGATATAAATGAAAGAAACTAAAGAGATTTCAGTTGAATAACAATTGTTAATTCAGAAGTGGATTTTCTTTCCCTGTGCCACGCTTTTATTACCCACTACTGAGTTTTGATAAGTAGTTGAGTATCTTAGAAAGAGAGTAGGTGTGGCCTTCCATGAGAAAGAGAATACCTCTTTCTTTAGCGTTTGATCTTGGTAACAGACAAAAAGCAGAAAATATTATAAATCCATTTAAGTTAAAGATTTTGCGAATGCACTGTAGCACGCAAGGAGTCAGATGTTGGCTGTTTTTCCTTCCTTTCTACACAAAATAGATTCTCATTCTCTTGTACCATTCTGCCTCCAGGGGAAATACTTACTCTGCTGTGGCATTAGCCAGCATTCTCTACTATTAATCTGTGAGAAAGTTGATTTTATCAGTTATATCCTTCTACATAATAGTAATTAGATTTATTACTTCAGTAGCAGTGTTGTTTAAAATTGTTTGGCAATTTCATGCATCTTTAAAACAGTGTGCTTTCAGTCCATGGCATTGTAGAAGAACCTGCCCTCACATTTTATTTCATGACCCTTCTTGCTGCTGTATAAAGAACTACAGGAACGGTTTCAAGTGCAATTAGCAAGGAACTAAGTCTAACAGAAAGAAAAGTTGATTTAGAAAAATGGACTTTAAAGAACATAATGTGTAGTAGCATTGCTAAGTGTTACAAAAAACAAGTTGTATCAAATCTGCAATTCATGTCTTCTTGCCAGACCAGTAAAAAGTGATTTGATTGGCTTCTGACATATATGATTCTTGATTATATTCAACACTTTCAGCATCTTTTAGCTTTCAGATGTTCCTGAGCTGATTGTTCAGGAGTTTATCCTAATATCATTGTGGATGTCAAAGTCTGGCTATTTGCTGCATCCTCCTTCCTCTCCAAATAGAAGAAGATAACTGAGTTTGTTCTCTTGCAGTCCTCTGGGATACTGTTCATGCTCTCTACACAGAGAAAAATGTTTCTGTTTTCCAAGGTTGCTTCTTAAATAATCTGGAGTGACTTTCATCAGACACTTCAGGTTTCAAATACATCTCAATATTTTGAACCTGTTTTCTTTATCATTTGCCTTCTTGTTAAAATTAATTGCATCAAGTGTCAGATTACAGCTGCTTTTTTTGTGGAAAGACTGACGTATGTAGCTCTGTGTCATCCTGTTTTCTTTCTTCACCCTGCGATGCACGTACTTATACTTCCTTTGTCTTTCTCTGATGGCAGTCACAGGAACTTTCTTGCTACCATTTATTTAGCTCTTCTGCATTCCTTTAACCTTTTGGAGTTTCTTTCCTATAGGTTCTATTAACCAGTTTGCTGGATTTGTTGATACTTCTTTTTTGGGGTGCTCGCTGTCCTTGGTCTTATTCTGAGATTTAGGACAGACAACTCTGGCATTCATCTGTATTAGCCATTACTTTCAAGCTCCTTATGACCTCTTCTGTGTTACAATCAGAATAACATTTAAAACACCTTTTTTCTTGGTAACTTTCCACAGTTGTCCTCTGTACATTTGGTTATTTTCTTGCAAGGGCCTTTTGCTTTTCTAACAGTTACATGGATAGCAAGTGAGAGCTGCAGTGTAATTCCAGAGATCAGGACTGCTTTTTAATCTGAAATACCTTTGAATTACGATGGAGACCGAGCATAACCACACCTTAAAAAGACAAGAAATTGATCGCAGAGATTGAGATGGAAGATAGAAAATCATTACTGGAATGACATACTCCTATATGTCAGCTCAGGAATACAGAAATAGCTCATCCCATTTAAAGTGAAACATACAGTAAGGCAGACAACTAAATTTAATTATATAGGGTTTTTTTTTTTTTTAATGGTTTGCCTGACTGCTGTGAAAGCAGCTCTGTTGAATTGCTACACGGATGCAGCGTATTGCCTGTTCCTTTGTGCTTAGAGGCTGCAGTCCTGAAAGGAAATCTTGGCTGCTGATCTTAATCAAAGAAGCTTCAGTATGCCCATTCTCTGTGGCATGTTGCTTCCCATCTGGTAGAGAAGCAAGGAGTTTACAAATTCAAATTGCCCATTTGGAAGGTGTGTCAGTGAAATGATGTGATTCCTTCACCTGAGCTCAGATCCAATAGAACTGAAATTTAATTGCATTTTAAACAAATATTAACAAAAGGTGAGACTCTACTCCAAAAATTACTAAGATCTTTTAACCAGCATATTGAATATTGCAGAGCATTAGATTTTTATCTTGAATGTAATGAAGTACGAAGCTGCTCTGTGAGGTCTGCAGAGGTATTTTGTATTACTGCATTTCTGTGTAAATGCTGGAAGCAGTGGAGTCATTTCCATTCTCAGTTCTATTAGAATTGGTTAGCCTTGATAAAACATAAACTAGGAAGTTTCCTACTTGTATTTTCAGCCCAAATGTGACTTACCCTTTTTTTTTTTCCTAATTGTTGTTATTCTTTACCTTATGTTTTGGAATCGAGGGAAGAATTTTATTGAGAATTTTTAATGTCACTAATTTTTAGCTGTTAGAGAATAATAGCAATGTAAACTGACTGAAAATGTAAGTTCTCTTGATTTTGTGCCACTCAAATCTTCAGCATCGTTTCTGTGTTGTGAGGGACATGCTTTTCTGCAGTAGGTCAGCATGGGTTACGAAGGACAGATTAGAGCAGGGAATGTAATTTGTAAGGAGGCAAATGTGCTTAAAGAGGTTTTTTTTCCACTTTTGAATTAAGAATAATGTAATTTCAAGCAAATGAGCATGCACGTGGCTGATTCGAATACGATTAGTTGGCAGAAGAAACTGGGTTTTGAAATAGGGTCTTGAGGGATTGGAATGGGATCAAATGCTGAAAACCAATATCAGGTGTCAGAATATTCAGGAAAATTGGTTTGTCCAAAAAATGCATACATTTTGATACAGGATAAACTGTACTAAGAAAAGGACTGTTTGAGAATGGAGTGTTTAACGTTAAGACCAGCAAGCTATGCTGCACTTAAAGCACCCCATGAAAGGAGCCAGCAGAGCCCCAGGATGCCCCAGGCCCAGCACTGCCACCAGGACAGGAGAAGGGGTGTCCTACTCTGCTCTGTGCTGTGCTGCCTCACTTCCAGCTGCCTGTGCAGCTCCCAGTGCTGCAATATGAAAGGGAACAGAACTGTTAGGATGTCCAAAGGAGCACTATGGAGATGTGTGAAGAGCGGCTGAGGTCCCTGTGTTGGCTCAGCGCAGAGCAGAGGAGCTGAGGGGAGGCCTGATGGCGGCTGCAGCTCCTCACAGGGAGCGGAGGGGCAGCGCTGAGCTCTGCTCTGTGTGACAGCGACAGGGAACGGCATGGAGCTGCGTCAGGGGAGGGCAGCTGGGGGTCAGGGTAAGGGTCTGCAGCACAGGGCGGTGGGCATGGAACGGGCTGCACAGGGCTGTGGGCACGGCCCCGAGGGCTGCAGTTCATGGAGCGTCTGGACACTTTCAGACACAAGGTTTGATTTGGGGTGGTGCTGTGTGGAGCCAGAATCTGGACTTGATCCTTGTGGGTCCCAGCCGACATGAGATGTTCTGTGGTTCTAATAAATCTGATGTTACAGATCAAAAATATATTTTGGAAGAGTAGGTGATGATAATAAAGTGCCTTCCTCATCTGGAGTTTGAAAGGAAAAGGGATAGAAGTAATTAAAAAACAGGCCTGAAATACAACTTAGTCCACCATTGTTGCACTGCTTCTCTGCATGCTTAGGAATTATGGCTGACTGTCGGCTTCACTGATGTTAGAATTGTATTGATCTGAGAGTAGTAAGATTTGGTGCTTGCTGTCTTCTGAGATGCTGGGATAAAAATGTTGAAAAATGGACACGTTATAAAAATGTATTGTTTTTATTTTATCTTAAATTAATTCCATGTATTAGCATGCTTTATTACTCAATTTTTATTGAGAAAGGTTATTTTTATTCATTTTTCATTGTTCGTATCAGTTGCAGTAACAGTTATATAATATTGTTTCAGTACCTTGGCACATTCATTGCTTCCTTCAAAGACTTTAATGTAATATTTACACTACAGCATTGTTAGAAATAGCTCTCCAGTCTTCCCCATATTAAGCTTTCCACCCTCCTAAGGAATAAACACCAGTGTGCTGCTAAAGTAGCCATCTTTCAGAAATCTTACTAAATTAGCATGGTCTTTGCACTGTGTTGAGATACATAAGTTCTCCAGCCTGCTTTTCACACTCCCAAGCTGTTACTTAATCCTTACAACAGATTCCAACTTGCTGCTGCTGTTCTTAACTAGCACTGAATTAGCCATCCATAGTTAGGCACTTGTCCATTACAGCCATAATGGCTCAAGGTTTTGGGCTGGAGAAGATATGCGTGTATGTGTTAAATGTATCTGCTTTCCACCATGCCACCTGGCTGTCACTCCTTCCACATTTTTTCCTCAATAATTTGTCCTGCTGTCTTTCATACTCAGCACAGACGGTTTAGAAAGGAAGATGCTCAAGAACATCTCCTTTACCCTGCTGAGCTTTAAATATTTGCCATCATCAGAGTACCTTTACCAGTGGGACAGAGCACTACGTGTTTGGCAGCACGGTACTTGGTTTTCATTGCTTTTACTTCAGAATTTTTCTCTAGCTACTCCAAGGCTGTAACGGCTGAAAGCCAGATGTGGTAGAACAATAATAAAATATATGACCAGCTTTGGAAGTGCAGTGTGTAGATATCACGTGTAAATGAAGGCTTTGTCCCAAGCTCAATTTTCTGCTGCAAATTTTTAAAGCTCAGCTAATAGGAAATTGATGGACTGGCCCTAACTTCAGGAGTGTAAGTTTCTCATCGTGCTCAGAACTGACAGTGAAAGTGCACTGTTAGAAATGAGCCTGTTTCTTTGGCAATAACTTCCTTTTAGGAAGTTGTGTAGTGCTGTGAGTAGGACTTTTGCCTGTGTGGTAGTTACTGGGGCTGTTCCTCGCCTTGAATTATTTTAAATATCAATTTATCCATGAGAAACATCGAGAGTGAGAAATTTTGCATGTCACCTGCAATCTGATCCATTGTGTTTATTTATAAACATCATGCTTTTTTCATTCAGAAACTTCATACAACGCAGAAACAAATGATGGGTCTCAAAGTTTAATCCAGATGTGTTCTCCCCTTCCTGAGATACCTCAGAATGAAAATGCAGCTGAGTCCTGGGAGACGTTAGAAGAGGTATGCTGGGACTCCCTTACTATCCTGTTGGTATTCTTGCTTTTAACAAGTTACAGAATAACTTTTTTTTTTTTTTTTTTTTTTTCAGGACTTGATTCAGCTCAGCCAGTTGGTGACTGACTTTTCTGTGTTAGTCAGTGTAAGTATGAATTCTGCATTCCGTATTAGAAGCTTTCAAAAATGAGGGTGAGTGGGGATAACACCCGGCTGGGGAAAAAAGGAGAGCAGTTCTCCTGCCTGTAATCTGAGTGCAGACTGAGCTAGTTGCCACTTAATAACAGCAACACAGCCACAACATAATAACAACAACAAGAATAGCAGAATCACATTAACAGAATGTATTCAGTCAGGTGTTAAATAAATTAAGGTTATGAAATGATAGATATGTTGGGAACTTCAGGAAGATGTTCCCCATTGAATGGAGGCAGTGTATTTCCCCACAGTTAGCCAAGATGCCCACGTAGAAGTCCTGACTGTGCTACATGGCACCTATAGTAAATACTCCTCTGGTTTCAGATGATTGGTACGTTTGATACTTTCCAAAGTCATGGGTGATGGATATCATTATTACATTTATGTTGAATTATCTAGCACTAAATTAGAAAGCTTTCTTCTGGTTTTCATGTAGTAACAGAAGAGGACTGTTGTTTGTTCCTCTTCTGTTCCTATTGGTTCAGGTCCTGGCAAGGTAGATTTCTGAGGAGGCAGTATTTTTTCATATCAACAACTAGTGCTGCTAGTTGCTCCTAAGCAATTCCTGATGTTGTAGCCAATGCCCTTTGTCACCTGAGGAGCCTTAGAAGCAGCTCTGCAGTGCTGACTTCAGACTTGTAGCCAGATCCCATTCATTCTTATAGTTTCCAAGGGTAACAGTGGCTATAGACTTCACTGCACAGGTTGGGCATCTTTCAGGTACTTTAATCTCTTAACCAGGAGTACTAGGAAGAGTCTGAAGCTTCCCTCATCTCCATCATGCTCTTTCTTTACTTATAAATGTGGCATCTTTTATCAGCCACACTTAGTTCCCAATGTTTAATTCTTCCTTTGCCACTGGGAGTTTCAACCCACCGTTCTCAACTGCCACAAGGATTGTTTAATCTGATCCCCTTGCTGTTGAGCTGCTTGGGATAGATGAAAGAGCTTTTGTTCTTTCTCTAGACTCTGTGCTGCTTCACTGAGATTTGTTGAACTGGAAAGGGACTTTAGAAAGGAGGGGTTCCTGTTCCCAGGACTGGATTTTACACATAACCATCATTAGACATTAGACAAGAGTCAGAAGTGTTCAGTGGCCTTCGGTAGATTGTAGATGAAGGTACCACAGCTGGACTCAGCATTTTCTGAGTCTGAAAGAGGACAAAGTTGTGATGCCTTGTACTTAAGGAGGCCGTCAGCCATCTGAGGCATGAAATAGCCTAAGAACCATAGAGATCAATAAGAACAAAACCCTCTCTCTGTCCTCTCTGTCTGCTGCTCCAGTGTTCTCTGAGAGACTGCAGGGGAATCTTACTGCATTCTGACAAAGGATGGAATGCTTCTTTTAAATCTTTTAAATCAGAGAACAATGAAAGGTAAAGCAGTAGCAAGTATATTTCAGTTGTCACTGTTGTATTTGTGAAGTGGAAATCACAGCCAGAACCACAGAGTGGCCCAGGTTGGAAGAGACCTCAAGGATCATGAATCTCCAAGCCCCTCACCACAGGCAGGGCCACCAACCTCCACATTTAATACCAGACCAGGCTAGTCAGTGTTTTATAATATCCTAATTAAGTACTTCTATTTAGATTTCTTGGCACAACTTTGTATGTTGCAGTTGGTACTGATAAATGCTTTTTATAGACCTTTTTTTGAACATGAAGCTCAGCAGGAAACAGAAATGCTAGTTTGGATTGTTTTCCCCTTTGAAGTGCAAGCTCATCTATTCACAGAGAAGATTTAGAAATCATATGTTACGGGTTGTTTTCTCTAACAGTAGCAACGCATTGTGTAATATTCCCCACCATATTAACTGTCAACTAATAAGCTTTTTTTTAAGTAAGTTTGTAATTTCAGCGCAGTTTATCAGATCCCATTAATGAACCACCATTAAGGCTGCATGGCTGCAGTGTGTGGCAGATGAAAGCAGCTGTGGGGCCCTGATTACAGGCATTAAAATGGTGTGTATTGGCTCACCGCTGCTTCCCAGCAGGTTCCCTCACTCATAATTCCTTTGCATCTAGTCTCAGCAGGAGAAGATTGACAGGATTGAAGACCACGTCAACAGTGCTGCTGCGAATACAGAGGAGGGAACCAAAAACCTGGCGAAGGTAGGGATCTGCTCCTGCTGCTGGATCAATGGTACTCTGCTTCCCAGCAAACTCTGTATTAACCCCATTGATCCGCCGTCTTTAATGCTGAGGGAGCCAGCAATTAAGGAAATAAGGAAGAAATGACCCACAGGTAGCAAAGGGAAAAAAAATCAATCTCTCTTGTAATTTTCTATCGCACCCAGGCTACTAGAAAATACTTTTTTTGTTTCTTCAAATCACATTATGTGATACTTTAATGCTACTTCGGTGTACCCGCAAAGATGTGAGCATTCAGCCATTGGCTCACAGGAATCAGATGAGCGTGAAGCAACAGAGCAACAGGGGCATGCAGCTCCAATGGACGTGATGTCAGCGAGAGCTGCTAATAAGCCACACGTCTGGATTCAGGCACGCTATTGAAGTCTGAGCATTTTCTGTTTCTCACTTGATTCAGTGATGGAGACAAAGTCATAAATAGTGTGTATAGTCAGCCAGTAGCGTGTAGAAGATCTGTCTCCGAGCTGCATACGTGAGAGAGCTCAGTTTTCAATTGTTTGGGATTCATACACGTGGGTAGCAGAGCATCTTTTTTCCTAGTACTGATTTCTCAAGTGTATTTATTGCTGAGCGTTCAAATCATTGCCAAGAGCAATGAGAAGAGAAACACACCTCACAACAGGAAAGGGTTCTAACCCTTTTTCTTTTTTTCTCTTTCTAGGCTGCAAAATACAAGCTGGCAGCTCTGCCCGTGGCAGGTGCAGTCATTGGAGGAGTGGTGGGGGGTCCTATTGGTCTCCTTGCAGGCTTCAAAGTGGCAGGAATTGCAGCTGCACTTGGTGGTGGGATTTTGGGTTTCACAGGTGGAAAACTGATACAAAGAAGAAAACAGAAACAGATCGAGCTGGTCTCTTGCAGCTGTCCAGAGCTTTCTTGCCAAAGTGCCAAAAAATCCAGCTGAAGTATAGACTTATTAGGAGGAACAGAAGTACAGTAGCTGTGCTAATGACAGACTTGCAGCCTCCTGCTTTAGATTTGAGGCTGAGGTGTGAATTCTGCAGCAGTACAGTTACGTGGGAAGGGTGAAACAGTAATGTCAGAATTTTGGAGCTTTCTGTTTTCAGATGTGATAAGTGACTTTCAATCTTTTAACTCTTAAGAACTATAGGGTAACTTTTAATGATAAAATTCTTAAAGGAGATATGTGAACAGCTGACGGGTGACAGGTGCTTCAAGCCAAATTTGCACAAAATACTTTTCAGATAAAGAGATTTAGAAAACTAGTGCTTTCTCATGAACACCCTCCCCAGAAGCCAGAGCTTGTATTATATTATTATAGTAATTGTTGTATATTATTCTAAACTCCTGTCCTCCTGAGGCAGGAAAATAAGCTCCCATCTATCCTTCATGTTCAGGGCACTTTAAAATCTCCTCTCCGTTATCTGGATTCCCAAACTCCTCCTGTGTATACCACCAGGACACAGGGAAGCACTGTTTTCCATAGAGTAAGGTTAAAACACCGGGTGAGTAATGTGGAAAAACATATGTATATCCAGCATCTGTCTGCATCAGCCAGCTCAGATCAGCATCTTTTATTTATTTTATTTTGTGTACTCCTCAGTTATTCAAACCATAGTTAAGACTTAAATAGCCTAAGAAGCAGCCCTGGGGGAAAGAGTCATTTTCCCTGGCTCTTCAGCTCCTTGTCTCAAGAACGTTGCTCAGAATGAAGTGCCAAACTCCAGCACTCTGAGCCAGGAGCCTCAGCTGCCTTTAGGAGTGCTCAGGGCCAGCTGCTGCCCTCGCTTCTCCTGTCCTGGCACCAGCAGTGCCATAGAGGGAGAGCTTCGCTGGAGGTGTGCTTCCTCCATGGCCTTTATTCAAGGGTGGGTATCTTTTATACCAAGGGTGGATGGAGAAGCAGCAAGTCCTGGTGAGAAATGTGTTCAGTGGGGCAGCACTGAGACTTGTGCTCTGTTCCCCCTGTATGGCTGCCTCTGGGCCTTTTCAGTGGAGATTTTGGGGCGTGTTGTTAGGACTTCCTCTAGCTTTTTACAGAAATATTCTGCCTTCCTGATTTCAGTGCTTCAGAAGCCATTTGCTTCTGTAACCTCTGCTGTTGCACACCAGAGTGCTAATGCTTTTAGTTTTGCATCGTCTTACTGTTATGCATGTAGTCCTACCTCCATCTTTTGAGAATGGTTCCCACACTATTGCTGCTGCTGGTTGGGGGAACAGAAGTTGGAGCTGGGGGGCTGCTGCTTTAAGTTTTACATTGTTCAGCTCCTCCTGAGCTCTGTGGGATTAGTCCAGTCCGGTTCTAATAGTCACACACCTTTGCTCTCAGGCTCCCTAGCAGGGAATGCTGGATACAGAAGCAACCTACATACAGAGAGCTCCCTTTTGTTAACCATGAAAAGAACCATCTGCTAATGACAGATGATAGGTTTTTGTGCCTAGAGACACAGTAAGCAACTGTTAATTACAGCACAAGCATCTTTTTCTGAACAGTTCTTCCATACTACTTTTACAGTGTGATTGGAATTGCTATCAGCCAGAGCAACGCATCTGTTTTAAGTAGGGCTGAGGCTTAGGGAAGCAACGTGTACGAGAACAGTTCTCACAAGTAATCATGAACATTGTCAACACTGCGTGTGCTGAAGCCACAGTGCCTACGTCTGTAAAATCAGCAGGAGTGGGAAATGCGAGCCGAGTAATTCAGCGCGTTTCCTCCTGTCATGCAAAAAACTTCTTTAAATGCACCTACTTTGGATGTAAATATATCTAATGAGTTTGTAACAGCTCCCTGTGAAGGCTGTTAATTCCAGTGACTGGTGATTTCTACATATAAAGAAAGAAACCAAGGAAGAAGTGCTTAAGTGGAAACTGTGGCTGGATCTGCTTTCCTACTATCTGATTCTGAGCCCCATGCATTAAATGGCAGCAGACACCGCAGGACCTCCTCGCTCCCCCTAAGGCTGGGACAATCCACACCACCAAAAGGAACTTCTGCCACTGCTCAGCCAGGGTCAGCTTCCCCCATACTCTCTTCATAAAGCATCTCACACAAGGACTGTTCTTCCTTGAGGCTTTAAGGAAGCAATTTCAAACTGTGCACACACTAAATGTGGGGGGCTATTACTTAAGCTATGATTTTATTTTATTTTTTAAATAGATGAGTTACGTACACGAGCAAAAAAAATACAGGCACCTGAGTAAGTACACTGCATTCAGATTGGTAAGCAGATTGGTTAGAAGATATGTAAGCTATACATAATGCTTCCTGACCAAACCAAAGTTTTTGCTCATCTGCATAGAACTGATTTAGAATGTCAGATTTTATTCCCTTTTTGACATCAAAAAGTTCAGTCCTTCAATAAATCTGTTATTAAAATTATTATTAACACTAAAGAATCCTGTATTGAGTTACTAAACTACATACTTCCACTGTAAAATATGAACATTGACTGAAATCAACACAAGTTCCCAAAGCATTCCAGGCATTTTAAGAACTGGTGCAGATCTGGTACTTCAAACCAACTGCTTTGAGATCAATGTGAGTTTGGAACATTTTTGTTCTGTGTGGGGATAATGCTCCTGTTGTTTGATAGCTTCCCAGGAGAGCCTTGGGGAGCGGTTTGCCAAGCACTAAGGGGCTGAAACCAATGTTGTAGATCAGAGTTTATCAGAGTTTAAACACCTTACTGCTCTACTGAGGTAAATTCTTTGTATCTTATGATACTTCAAGAGCTCAGCTGCTGCTGACTGTTGTGTTAGGCGTAACTAGACTTCTGCTGTTCAACACTGCTTGCAAATAGAAAAAAACCACTTAAAAGTTCACACATCTGTGCCCATGATCACCAAGAACCCAGGAGAATCAGGTCCTACTCCAGCAAACACACGATGATGTGACTTCAGCACGCACCTGTCAACTAACTGGCACACTGTGCAGGAATTGTCCAGAGCTCCTGGAACAAGTCCTTGCTCAGAAGAGCAAACACAGCATAACAAAGGGGGCTGGATGTGGGCTGGCATATCTGATTTTCACAGGAAAAGCCATTGGATCACTGGACATAGAATGAGGCTCTATCTCTCTCCAGCAAGAGAAATTCAAATGTCACCCACCAAATGTCATAAGATGAGCCCCATAGGCACCATGCAAGAACTCCAGCCTTAAAAACTACCCTGATGATAGCTTTGGATTCAAGCTGAAGGTGGCATGATAGCTGCTAAAAATGCTTGACTTGCTATTAAACAGAAGACCCGGCTTTCTGAAACTTTGTAAACTCCAGAATCACAAAACAGATAAAAAAAAACCAAAAAAGCCACAAGAGAAGAAACCCACCAACTTCAGAACAGTCTTGCAGTGAGCTACCAGTTCTGCATCTGCTCAGTTAGCTGCAGCTTAGTGCTGAGAGCACTAAACTGTGTCCTCTGCAGGTGGCTGTGGATGCAGGTGCTTGACTGAGCAGACTCTGCTGGGAGCAGTGCTTGCACAGCTGCACAGCCCCACATCACTCTTCTGTCACATACCTGAGGAGCTGACCTGAGAGGAAAAGGAATCCTGAGTAGTGAACTGCAGAAGTTGGGGCACTCACTGAAGTAAATAGGAACCCACTGAGAACCACACGCCCAGAGAAGCAGCTTGCCTCTTTGGTGCCCCAAGTCACAGACTCGGATGCTCACAGCATGTGCTGTGCAAATGAGAACTAATTAGTCTCCAGCCATGCCCCCTGAACTAACAGGTGTTTTTCGCATCTTACTGTTTCTTTATGTTCACCTCACCAAGCAGCTTTTACATTTGTTGAGATAAGTATTATGTATTAGACACAACAGAAAAGCCCACAAGGATAACAGTTCCTTCTTCAGAGCAAAATTCAGAGTGTGCAACCAATGAGGGAAAAGCCATACAAGAGTATCACAATTTAGAATGCTAACGCTTGCATAGTCATGGTGCTGTGTCTGCCCTACTCCTCTTCTGCTCTGAAGTGTCTCTAACACTGGTGTTGTTTTAACACAACTGTGTAACATACCATCATTCCAGCAAACGAGCTGGCCTGTACAGCCCTACCATGCAAAATACAGCCATTACCATTACAACTTCACCTTTCCTCACTTAGTATTTTAATAATCAGAACTGCTTAAACATTTAGACCCAGTAAAGCACCACACAAGATTCTGTAAAACTTTAATTTATTCCCCTCCCAAGTATCCAGAATAGAAGACCCTCTCAAGTTGGAGAAAAATGTGACAAAGAAATAGATTACCAGGAGAGCTGTTCACATGAAGAACAGAAAGCACATACTACCAAGATTACACAGAAAACAACCCCAAAATCCTATTGAATGGGATAGTGCAAGTTAACAGCATGTCTCTGGCAGGGATACCTTCATTTGGATTATAAAAGTTTTACAGAATTGTTACATCAAGTGTCTGGATGGGTCTCTGGCATTTTACTAGAGCGTTAAGAACGTACTGTTGGAAAGATGCTGTACAGAAGGACCCACCAAATCAATTTATTTACAAGCCTGGGGAAGAAAAAAATTATTTTTCAGTTTATTCAAAATAAAAATACACGTAGAATTATGAAAATATAGGTTTACTATTTCCACCACACGGAAGTCAATGCTGCTGTCTGAAAGGCTTGCAAGATTATTTCAAGTTTTTAAAGTTCATCTTTTTCCCTCAATAAGGTGTACCTATGTTCACTGGGTGCCAGTTTCTGGAAGGAGCTCTCTGGCGGGCTGCTGGCTACATCCTGAATTGGCTGAAAAACAGAACAGTAGCAGTGCACGTTAGATTCATTGTGATCATCAGTCCCCTCCACTACACAATGATGGGTGTGCACAACCAGCCAGCTTTCATTGGAAATGGAAAGGCCCAAGCAGGTGAATAAACACCTGGACACAAATTAAGTACCTTCAGTTGAGGACATTCCTTCTGTAAGCAGAGCTGAAAAGGTCAGCCTGTAAGTTTCTACGTGATTTAATAGTATTTTGAATGCACCCTACTGCAGACTTGAGTGTCCACCACTTGCCAAATTTGAAGGTGCTGTGCTTTGTGTGTTCATTTTTGAGACACCAGGGCAAAAGTGCAATTGCTGCCAAAATACTTTAAAATTAATTTCCTATAAAAACTAAAAGAAATACATGCAACTCAAGGGACACCAATGACACGGGACAGCAGCCTCCAGTTTAATTTATGTCCAGTATTTCCACTGCACAGGCTTGCACATCTTCCATGTGCTGGCAGGATACTATACACAGATGAGAAAGGAAACAAATGAAGAACACTGGATTTTGGGTGCATTTTTCAAGGGAGAAAGGAGACAAGCTAGTCCGCAGCTCCACACAGTGAGCCTGGCCTAGATATGCAGCAGAACTCAGCAAATTAGCAGGTTTCCTTTCACCCTGGCCAAGCTTCCAACACACTGCAGTTGCTTCCAAGTATGCCCAGCCCTAAGCTGATTGCCTCAGTCTCCAGTTCCACTCAACCACATCTGCCTTTCCTCCCACTGACCTGAATTCAAGTTGCTCATTGAATTCTTGAGAAATACAGGGAGTTACTAGCTAAAGGAACTAACAGGGGAAAAATTCAGCCTTCGTGTTTAAACAGTCAGTCATCATAACATTCAGAAGCAGTCACTCATCCCCACCCTGCCCAAGGCAACCCCTCCTGCCTCCTGTTGCACAGCACAGCCAACTTGCTCCTTCCCAATGGCTGCAGATATGAGTATCCTCTGCTCACAGAGCCTTACGCTGCCCTACCTGGCACTGATACCAGCACTGCTCACAAGCCTCAGTGCTGTTTCTCTAAAGAAGACCCGATGCCAGTTTGAGTTTACTTGAGCAACCTGTGCATGGAGTGGAGTGTTGGCACAGGAAGGAGTTCAGCGTATTCCAGCATCAGAGACAACCCTGACCTTAACATCCAGTTCTGCTGCGAGCCCAGCCGCTCACAACCTGGCTGGAGAGTACTGGGAGCAGTTCCCAGCTCAACCATCTGCAGGCTTTTGCAGCTGCTGGTCCAGCCTCCGCTCCTGCATTATATGTTACTGCCCTGCCCCTCCTCCGGGGCTTTTCTGCTTTTCATTCTATTAACTTTGAGCAGAGCAACAGGAGGCTGTGCTCAACATCTTTAGCATGGAGCCATCCTTACTCTACCCTACAGATATCCAGGATAAGGGGCCTTAACAATCTCTGACCTATGGGTGCTGGGATAGCCCAAGGCTCTCTAATACGAGGCAAGGGTCCTCTGAGACCAATACAGCACCTTAAGCCCTAGAAAATAAACCATTTAAGTCAAAAGCAGTATCCAAAAACAAATGTGTCTTTAGACAGGGCCTGAAGTATTGAGAAGGTTGCCTGACAGACCTGTACTTACACTCTTCCCCAAGCATATGAGCAGAAGGGTGTATCATGAAGATACAAGGCTGAGACACAGACGGATGGGGCTGAGCAGAGGGAATCAGGGCTGGTAACCACATCCTTTCTTTGCTGCCTCCTGCTAGGCTGAACTAAACAATGAGGTATCTGGAGAAAGATCTGCTAGATCCTTTTCCTTTTTCTTCCTGAAAAGATCCCAAGAATGACTGCCATGCACATAAATACAGAGTATAATAGTCTTTGAGCAGAACCAACAGGAATCTGAACTGACAAATGCAGTGTGAGCACCATTAATGCTGCTTTTTAACTGCATTAATAAAAGTAATAATCCCTACTGCTGCTTATCAGTCTTTCACTGACGCTCTAATAATCTGCCTCCTGCTTGAACTGGTGACCACAAGTAAATAATTAAAACAGTCAACGGATGTTTCCCTTTAGAAGCATTCCCTCAGTGTGTTGTAAGAGCAACAGTGATCTATTTTACTTCTACAGCTATATATAAAATCAGTTTTCCCCACTGAAATAAGAGCAGCTTATGAGCTCAGAGCAACCATCTAACCCAAAACTTTTCAGTGGAGATAACAGCTACTCTTACATTCTTTCATTATACAAGGCAAATAGGAGCCTGTTTCCCCCTAACATTCTCCCTCCCTTTAACCAAAAGCAGTTTTGGTTAAACAGCAAAATAGAAACAACTTCTGCTCTTTTAGGCAACCGGAGTTAAAAGCATATAAGCATTAAGAAGTACACCTATAATAAGGAGGGGAAAAAAGTCTTTATTAAATGGCCAAATTAAGTGTATTTTCTGTAACCTTACCTGTCCAGGTGCTACATCAGTTGGATCAGGGCCATGATGAAACTCTCTATGCAGTTTTCCAGAATGCAAGTCTAGTACAAATTGCTTCAGTTTACCTGGAACTCTGAAACAAATGAACCAAACATCCACATGTTTATAAGAAGTGAAGTTCAAACACAGAAGACAAAGTGCACTGCTTAGAGTAGCCAACTTCTGTCCATCTGGCACACTATGCCTACTTTTAAGTGATTAGCACAGGACAGAAAGCAAGTGGTTGGTTAAGGCATCCCTACCAGCTTCTTTTTCTTTCCCGTCTCTTGAGAACACAGCAAGTATTTCATCTTTTCAATAACTCCCACAGAGCTGTGCCAGCCAATAACTTCATTGTATACTCACTTCAGCTCTCCACTAACCATCATGTAAGAGGGAACAGCAGGCTCCAAATGCACAGTTTACAGATACAAATGACAGTTGGGTAGCAATATTGACAAAACATCTTTGAAAGGCTCTCCACTGCCTGAATAACTGCACGTACACTAGAGATAAGCACTAAGAGGATATCAATTTAAATCTAATCTGAGATCATCTACTGTCACCCACAGCAAGTATGCTAAACTGCAGCATCCAGAATTATTCGGGAGATGTCAAACAGACTAAGAAGCTTAAAGCAAGTTGATCTAATAAGCATTAAAGATGAGATTAAAAAAAAAAAGCTAATGTGAGCATCATCATATAAACAATCAAAAGATAATTAATGAATAGAGCCAGAATTGTAAGGAATCCTTCAATACACCAACGATTATATTTACGAAAGCAGAACAAAGCGTGGTGAGGGGTTGCTACCAGGAACACTCCAGATGACCCTTAAATTCTATGGATAAGAATTAGTGTAATGTTGTGTCAGAGGGTATCTGAGCAGCAGCACCGGTAACTGTAACCAACTAGTAGTGCAGTGATACTTGGAGGGACCTCCTCCCCTCCCAGACAGGATTGGGAGTTAGTGCTGATTTAGAGAAGGATGCTCATTCCAGCCCAGCTGCTCAAACAGCAGAACTGCTGCTCCTTGGGCCCCTGGAATGTTTTAGGCTCTCAAAGGTCAACCGCATCGCTGGAGGCATTCCCCTTCAGCAACTCCCCTCTTAATGCAGCAAGGGCATTCAGCACCTTGTAGCTCAGCCAGCTCTCTGAAAAGCTACAACTGACCCACTGAACAGTCGCCGTCACCACCTCCAACTGCCAGCTGAACAGGGCCAAGTGGCCAAAGCAGGAGGAGAAAATACTGGGAGATGGTCTGAATTGCCTCTGAAAAAGCTGTTCTTCAACATGCAACTCCTGAAAGAGGACAGCAACACTACAAGTCAAAGAGAAATCTTCTGGTGGGCCAGTGCTGAAATTGTGGGTATCCAAACACTATTGGTTGGTGGCAGGAAGGGGAAGTCTGGGGCCAGTTTGGAAAGGAAAAGAAAGGAAAGTACACATTAATATTTGGACACCAGAAACAGGATGCTTAAAACAGGCAACATGAGAGTCTAAACTAAGCATGGTTTATTTTAGGACTGTTTTAAAAGCAAGTGTTCAGGAGTGTTTTAAAAGTGTATTTTAAAAATACAGAGTGCCTTCAAAATGCAAATATTCCACAACTTCTCTCTCTCTCTTTTTTTTTTTAAAAGAACTGATGTTCAGGAACCAAAGGGGGAAAATGGTCACAATCAGGATTTCAACATGCATAGCTTTAGATGTCTGAAAAGCACTGTTACACATCCATAAGACTGATGGACCACACTTCCAGAAGAAGCCTGTGGAGAATTACAGGGAGAAGCTGCAACTAAACCTTCCTTCCAAGCATAAACATTTCAGGTAGAAAAATGCCTGCTGGAACGTTCACCTTGTGTGCTAAGTATCAGCTTTGAATCTTTGGCTTCAACCAAAGTGATCTATAATAAAAATACACTGAGCTTTTAAAAGCAAGAGTGGGCAAAAGCTGAAGTCTCAAAGCTTAGATTCCTACCCAAGGCTTACCTGCACATACACTGCTTGCTATCTCGTTTGAGACAGAAAATGGAGTTTATCACACAACCTGAAGACAAAGACAGAACACCCAAAGATCTCCTATAGGTCCCTGAAGGTAGAATGTACCCACCTTCACTCCTCAGCTGAGCCCAGGAAACTAAGTACGTGCTTCCTATGGCTGCTTTCAAGGCAGTGCATTACGAAAGGATGGGCTGACGTAACGAGGAATTATCAAAGTGGTGTTTAGATGCTATGTGTGTTAAAACTTTTAAAGTTAATAGCTACATAAAGAGCAGCACTGCAGATACCACGTCAGGCTCTAAATACTTAACTACTAAGGAAAATAGCAAAACTTTGAAAGAATAGCAGCATCCAGCATGAGATCCTCTTCTAGAACAATGCAATGAACTCCATTTACATTAATACTTCACCATTCATAGAATCATAGAATGACTTGGGTTGAAAAGGACCACAATGATCATCGAGTTTCAACCCCCCTGCTATGTTCAGGGTCACCAACCAGCAGACCAGGCTGCCCAGAGCCACATCCAGCCTGGCCTTGAATGCCTCCAGGGATGGGGCATCCACAACATCCTTGGGCAACCTGTTCCAGCTCTGTGTGAAAAACTTCCTCCTAATATCTAACCTAAACCTCCCCTGTCTCAGTTTAAAACCATTCCCCCTTGTCCTATCACTATCCACCCTTGTCAACAGTCATATCCTTCAAGTACTGAAAGGCCACAATGAGGTTTCCCTGGAGCCTTCTCTTTTCCAAGCTAAACAAGCCCAGTTCCCTCAACATTTCCTCATAGGAGAGCTCTCCAGATCATCTTTGTGGCCCTCCTGTGGACCCACTCCATGAGCTCCATGTCCTTCTTGCACTAGGGATTCATACCACTTTAGGACTCTCACACTGAATTATGCGCAGGCGCTGTTACCTATTCCATATTTACTCATCTTCCTATTGTGATCCTGTCTAAAATATAGCATGATTTCCTTTGTTCTCAACACGAACTCAAAACAAAAAAAAAAAATACTTACGACAGGTCGCTGAAGTCTGGAAAGACATACATGTGCCTGAAGCTGTCAATGGCAATAACCGGACAGTCTGTGGGAGTCTTCTGAATGTGGAGGAGCGGGTGCCTGAATTTGTCACAGTCAGCATGGAGGAAGTTTATTGTACCTTAAAATTGTGAGCAGACAAAAGTCCACATTAAGATTTTTTTTTATTATCCTAAAACTCTATATAATTCCATAAATAGTTCACAGGTAGAGACATTAGATAAATACATCATGCAAAACTTGAAAACAGATTCAAATAACAAGGCACGCTGAAATAACAAATTACCTGAAAGTAGCTTTGGCCACAATACAAACTGAAGTTTGTTTGAAGTCCCCTCAAACTGTTGGAAATCATCTAGATAAGAAGGCTTTCTTAAATAGTTATCTATTAACACTTTATGTTTCTATTTTAATCCTTTCTAGAGGGGTCAATCTTCACTGTCAAGAAGTAAAAAAAAAACAAACACAAATCTAGGACTCAGACATTTGCTTTCACTCTATATTGAGCTCACCTGGAAAAATAAAAACTGTTCCAGCAGTAACAAGTTGGTACAAACCTTTTTCACTTATTAACTGTCGTGCAACCTCCTGTTGGAATTTCTCTAGGCTCTCCAAATCATCCTTCATGTGGAAAAGTATAAGGAAAGGAAGGCCTTCTTCTGTCAGTTCCTGCACAGAAAACAAAAGATATATTACATTTCTTTCATTTCCTAAAGACACTTGAGTGATTCCAGCAATTTTCAAAGCCGCTGAGATTCCTGCCTCAGAAACAGCTGAAACAACATAACTAAGGATATCAACTGCTGACCTTTCATCGAAGACACCCAACTGACACAGTTAACCATGTTTCCTTCCCCTTATCACATGCAACAGTTTAAGGATAACGGTATTTCATTACCAACGTTTCAGGAAAGGATACACGTGCAATGGAATAATTGCTCAAAAGAAACAGTCCGATTGTCAAAACACATCTTCATAGAAACAGCAATAAGGCCTGAATGTAAAATATGGAATGAGTGCTAAATGAAAGCTGAGCATCTATATTGGACCATGTCCTTTGTTGGTTCACATCATGTTGGTGATTTTGCCTAAGACCATGAATTAGCATCTTTAAGCATTCCCAAGGGGGGAAAAAAAAAAGCAGCAGAAACTGATGAGGTGGCTGTAGGTGTGTCCTGACTGGTAACTGCAAGTACCATGAGTAAATTCACAGCTAAGGCATTACTAAAGGTGACAAACAAATGAATGTCTCTGTTAATCAGGCAGGCTTTAGTTCCCTGAAGGAATGCATTCTTGCCTCCTAAGTACCTTCTAAAGGTCTCTCTCCAAGGACAGACAAGTGTATGAAATACTTAAATATTTTATTCAGGATTTTTATTTTCAAACCAACACAAAGCATGAACTACATACATTTGCTTGCTTAAAAAGTGACTTTCTTAGCGGACCACTCATTCAATTTAGTAGAGAACCAACTGAAGAAATAATTGTTTATCAAAGAAAACGCTAAAGGCCTTGCCTATCTTTGATTAGTGCAGCTGATACGCAACCAAGTGCTGCTATTTCTTTTATTCTGCTCTGTATCCAAAGGAATCTTTGGATATCCATGCTTTTTGAGAAAGCTAACTTGTTCATTCTGCCTCCAAGGCTAATAGTTTCCTCAGCTACTTTCTATCTGCAGCAATTTGAAATAAATGCTTTTCCCAACACTATGCAGCCAGTTGCATCTAGAGAATACAGAATAGACAGCACTGTCTTTCCAAGCAAGCCTGCGCATCAAGCCAAGGTTTGGTCTTTTAAGAGCAGATTCCAAAGTTCCTCACTAGTTCAGTGCTCTTGGCAAAGCCAAAACTTCCCAACCAACCTCTAAAACAACTGCTAATCATATCTGCTTATTCTCATTTTTATAATGAAGTCCCTGGTAGGAATGTTTGCATGTATCTTAAAGTGTTCTACTATCAAAAACACAGCTGAATAGTCACATCATTAAGAGCCACAGTTAGTGGGCATAGTGGTGATAGGCTGACAGTTGGCCAAGATAATCTTAGTGGTCTTTTCCAACTTTACTGGTTCTCTGATTCTATATTTTTACTATACTACATTTTTATAATGTATGTTGTGCAATATACATTAAGAGCCCACATAAATGATAAGCAATTTCTACTTGTATAGCATTTATATTTGTTTGGTTAACAGCAGCCCTGAATTTTTTAAACAAATGTTGCTAGGCAAAAACGTCAAATTGGAATTGAAAATATTTACCTAAAGAAAACAGGAATTGAAGAGTGGGGGAACAAGCAGAAAAGCCAGAGCACAATGTGATACAGACAGCAATGAACTTTGGCTTCTAAGCCTCAAAAATCCAATCTTACCATGGGAAAAGTACACTAAAAATCTTATCAAGCAATTCTAAACATGTTGGCATGTGGCATCTTTCACATGCTGCTCGAGTTACAAAGGAAGAATGAATATTTCTTTAGCAAAACTTCCCAACAGAAGTTAGCAGTATTGACTAGACAGTTGGACTTCAAATATTTTGTGCATCCCACCCTATTCAGCCATCATGCAAATCAAGTGTTCTGCATGCCCAGGGCATCAGTGCTACACGCACTGACCATTCACAATAAAGCAATTAAGAAATGATGTGAACTGAGAACAAAGTATTCTTCCATCACACGACTGATTCTTTGGTCTCTAATCCAATGAGGGCCACACACTGCAATTTGTTACAGACCTCACCAGAGTTTACAGCAGATGCTGTGGCTATGAACAAATGCTCCCTCTGAGGTGCTGTAAGCTTGCTACTTGTTTGTTTTCCCTCTCTTTATTTTACAAAAGAATAATCATAGCAAATTAGGGACAAGTGAAAAAGAAGAGTAAATCAAGAAAGAGAAAAAAGAAAAGCATTGAAAGGATAATGAGAAGAAGTTTGAAAGCATCCATGCAAATCCCATCTTACAGCTAGAAACAGAAAACCAAGGAAAAGGACACATGAACCTAAAAAGGTAAAGAAGGTATCAGTACTTAAACACACCGCCAAAAGCCATCACACAGTTTCTGTTAAAATTCACTGAAGTATCCAGCTCCAGAGATGCTTGAATGGCTGTTCAGATATTTACTACACAATACTTTGGACATGGTTGATACATAAAAAATTTCCGACTACTAACTTTGACATGAAGTTTTAAATGCTGACTGGCTGTATCTAAAAGTTCACAGCTATTTTACTCTTTCTAACTGCCATGAATGCAGAAAGCTTGAATGAAATGATTCCAAGTGGCCCCTTCCAACCTCAGCCATGCTGTGATTCTGTGTGAGTACACCGATGTTGATATTTTCTACCTCGACTAGAAACATTTTTCCAGATCAAAATCAATGCTTCTTGCTTATCTCTGAATTGTAAAACAAGTCAATATCTTCCTGTAACATCTGCATTTTGGATGAATAATACAATCTACTCAAGGTGTTACAAAATCCCATAAAGACACATTCTTACACATGTACACTCTTAAAGTCTGCGTCCACCCTCTGCAAATCTCCAGGCACTTTGTATACAATCTATACGTGCGAATACAGCTTTTTAATTTGGTGGTGTAAAAAAAAATATCACAGATTTTCCTCCTGTGAACCTCAAGTCTAACTGAAAAGCTCCAGAACAATGAAAAGACAATACATAACAACTATTTTTGGTAAAAAACAAAGCATGCAGATGTTGCAATGCATGAATTAAAAACCTCAGGAGCCATTTTGGTTCTGAGAAAGAAATCTCAAAAATAGAAAGGTAGCAAAAATTCTTACCTCCCCATTTTCAAATGTAATTTCTCGAACGAGGGGTACACATTTATCTTGTGTCCATGCGTAAATCAAATCAAAATTGGTCAGGGAGCCCAAATACACCATATCTGGAGCATTCTCCTGTTGAAAAGAAAAGTACTAGTTGAAAAATAGTAAAAGTGACATTGCTACCGATACAAAGGTGACAATGCCTACGTAAGTACTGAAATCTTATCTTACATAAATATTCAACTGCTGCACATGCAACACCTCCATAAACTATGTAACAAAAACCATAAGTAAATAAATATGATCACTTTTGCAATCCACTTTCTAATATAAGAGGAACTGACTTCAGGTGGAGAAATACTCTCAGTATCTAAAAGAATCTCAGCCATTAAGATGGATACCCAATGCAAATATTAAGCTCCTCCATGCTGACAGTTATAAAGTCTCACCATAAAGAAAAGCCAAAAACCTGCAGGTCTTGCAACTGATCTTTTATATTTGCATTTGCAAAGATTGGAATAAATAATAGCTGTTCTTTGTTTACTAGAGTTGTAACCCAGAATTCAGTGCTTCCATTTTAAAATGCGACTACAGTTTGAGTTTTCCAAGCTGCGGGCATGAATAAGCATATATTGATTCAGACATGCCATATAAAGTAGACAACAGTAAAACATCTTTGCAGGAAACTGTTTCAACCTCTTTCCCCTCAGGTTGTGTTTTCCTTTCCCGAAGTGCTTCCCAGCATCAAATTTGAGAAAGGAGCATATGCTCAGATATTATGTTTCTAAAAAGCAAGTCTTGCTTTTCTTCCACAATGATTTTATTCTCAACTATGACAGTTTGTTAACATGCTTTACTGCTTTTCCTTTAGATTAAGTGAACAGCTTTTACCTCCCTAGTGTGCTAAGCTATGTAAGACAGGCAAGTGATAGTCAGAAAATAGCCAGAGATTGTCATTTGTGTTGAGAAAAAAGGTGCACCAGATGTTGAGCTTCCTAGATATTTTTTTTTAATTAAGATTTCTACTGGACACAAAGTATCTACAGACATGGTAAGCTGCCTGCTTTTCTAAGGAAAAAAACACTGGACACTGAAATTAAAAACATAGGTTTTGTTTTTAGTTAGCAACAAACTGTTAGCGACAAATGAGACTGAGATCTTTTTCATCTTCTCTGAAGCGCCAGTTCCTACAACCCTCACTAATGCTCACTCTCTTCAGTGATGAAATAAAACTGAATGGTGTGTGTGTGCAGTCTCTATTATCTCCTACTCACATATAAAGATAACAAGCAGAATAAAATACATAGTTACACTTACCCCTGGTGGCTTGTAGATTATATTGTCTCCGCTAAATCGCTCTGCTTTTGAAATAGCCCTACAACAAACCAACCAGTAAGCATGTCTTGGTACAGACAAACAAAATAACTAGGTTAGCAAAACTCATATTTCCATTTGCTATCTTCTCGAATTTGGAAGGAAAAAAAGAAATTAAAATGCGTCCTCTTCAAAGAAACCATAAAGTGATTAAAGAAACCATAAAGTGATAAAGAAGCTTGGTCTGTCTGGATGAAAGGGCAGTAGGGGAAGCTGCAAGGCATGTCCGTGAGATAAGAAGTTTGGAGTAGAGGCATCAAAGTCAAAGAGATGAATACTGGCAGCGTGCAGCTTCTGATCTCTGATGATTTGGTAACGTGCACACCTGGAGAATATATGAAATTTCTCCTTGATATTTAGCTTAGTATTTCATCTCAGTGAATTCCACACCCTGTCTCTGCCATATTTTGTTACTCCTCAATCCCAGTCACAACAGATTCCCACAGAATGATCACTTCTTATTAAAAGAAATGGGGACTAGTATGCATCCAACGTAAGCGAGGAAAAAAAATAAGAAAAGTAAGCCCCAACTAAGCTCTTTTCAGCACCTTCATCCATTGCAATAGGTCTCTTCTCCTCCACCATGCCTTGCTGTCCCACCATAAATCACACTGGCAAAATAGAACCACTGGCTGCATATGCCTCCAAGTGAAATGAACTATTTCTCTCTCTTCCTTCTTTCATAGGCTAAAAAGAAAGCATGTCAGCCTTTGGGAACTTTAAATAAGTGTTCCAGCTTCTCCAGTTACAGTATCTCTTAGATGGACTCAACAGAAGCATTGTAGAAGACTAATTAAGAGGGAAGGGGACAGAGGGGGAAGAAGGTGGTAAAATATCTCAATTTATCTCACTGTAAGAATATCCCAGGGTTCTGAATTAACTAAAGAGCAAAGAAAAAAGACATACAAGGCTTATGTTAAAGTACCTAAGTTTCATTCATTTTCTTTGATCCAGTTATCCTCCTCACATCACGTGAGAAAGATGCCTTGCTTAGTATATTACACCTATCCATATTTTCACCAGCTTAGAGGCATGCATTTTAGAACACATTTCAGAATTCTAGACATAACTACTCCAACAACACAGAATTAGGCTTTTTTGTAATCACCATCACTACTGAGGTAAACCATTCACTTCCCAATCAATCCTTCCCTCAGTAATAATAAAACAAAGACACCCAAGTCACCTGCCCAATCACTGCTTGATAAACTCACAATACTCTAGTAGGAAACAGAAGCTGTTGGGTAAGTTTGTTGTGGACCCAAAAGACTCTCTGTTCTTCCATCTCAATAACTGCACTTGTGACTGATTTGTTTCAGATAAGGGAAAGGGAAGACACAATATGAAAAGACCAAATGCCCGCAGATATTCCTTTTAAAAACAATACAGATGGAAACATTACAGTTTGTGTTTCATGCCTCCTTGAAGCAATTACCTAGAAAGTGAATCTTCTGGAAACAAATTGGCCTCACATACTCGCTTGCTAATGTTAGAACAGTTCTCAAGACAGATGTATTTTTTGAAAGCTTGTTTTGTGTTTCTGCATTTGACTTTCTGTGCTGCAACACAACAGCACAAAGCCACTCTCCTCACTTCTACAAAAATCTCAGATTTGCCCCACTGTCATTCTCCTTCTACAAACTCACTGCAGTATCTCTTTGTCAGTATACTCCCTACCTCCTGCTGCCTCCAACTCTTCTCTCACTCACCCTGCTATGGTCACCGCAGATTGCAATAGAATTGTTGATAGATTTTTTTGCAATAGAATTGAGGATCATTTGATTTAAGAGTATCTTTAAGTATCAAGGTGGAAGTAGCATTAATACAATTTAAAAACAAGCTACTGTAACTACCTGAAGCCAGAGCAACTTTAACGTAGCAAGAAACAAGTTTGACCTGACACAAGTTGGTTAAGGTTTACTGCTGAACTCAGTGTTTCCAGTTTATTTTGGCTTACTAGACATTTGGACATGACAACTCACATTACCATTATATATTCCATACCATAATACCTGACAAACTCTGCCCACACCAAATCCAAAACACCTGCCATGACCCACTGGGATGCTGAGGAAAAACAGCCCAGCTGATCCAGGAGTGCTCCCAAGGAAACACGTCTATTTATAAGCCCAGCAGCAAACACTGTTAGAGAGCCAGGATCTCTCCTTTGGAAGTCCTTTGGCACATAATTCTTATGAAGCCTGAGAGCCGCAGCTTCTCAGAGATGGAAATGTTTCGTTTCCAGGACTGCTGCCTGGAAGGCTTCATTCACTTGCAGATGCTAACGGCTCCAGGCTAGCAAGGGAACAGAAGTCTGGTGAAGAGAAAAATAATAAGCTTGGTGCAGGATCCTAAGTTACTTGGGTGGGTTACAGTAACCAAAGTCCAACTGTCGCATTGTGTATGTTCACTGCTTGTGTCTGAAGAAAAACTAACAACTCCATAGTATGTACGTTAGGAACAGCATCCAACTACTTTGAGATACTACTTCTCCTTAGACCCCATTGAAACACAGCAAACTAAAGACTAGCAGACTTGAACAGCAGGGAGAGATTCTTATAGGTATTGCTACCTAATGATTTCTTAGATATATTTCTGAGAAGAATGAAAAGCCATCTGAGGAGGAAAAAATAATTCCAAATTCTTTTAGTAAGTCAGTCTGAGAACAAGAATAATTGCGCTCATCAGAAACCACATTTGAGATAACAGACAATTCTTCGAAACACGATGGACAGACCAACCTCAGTTGCACAAGATTTGATGATTCTTCCATGGCCAAGGCTGTTTGCACAGTCATAGGATAAATAATTAGGAACTGGAAAGAAAGAAAAGACCAAGACCCCTCTTTCCCTCACACTCCTCTACGTTACAAATACTTGCATACTCTGCCCCCAAACTATTTTTCTCTTCTTTTCTCTTCTTTTCTCTTCTTTTCTCTTCTTTTCTTCAGAAAACACAGGAAGTGCTTGAGAAGTTTTGTTTAGATAGATGAAACAAACCCTAACCCTTCTACCTTAATCCAGTGTCATCACTGCTCTTCATTCATTACATCAAGTTCAAAAAAGTTCTAGGGCAACTGTATGATTATATCAACTGTAGGGCAACTGTATGTATGGATGATACCAGCTGTTATACCACAAATTCCTGCTCTTGAATTGTAGGTAGATTGTAAACCACTGCTTTCACATTAATGCCCAATCACTTTAAATTGATTGTTCCTGGTACCTTAAACACTGAAAAGGGAGTCTATACAAATTGTGTTTTATTATGCTACTTAAAAGGAAAATGACTTATTTCCAATTTATTCTGATCTCCACAGCGAACATCTTTTAATATTTTTATGTGGAAAAAAAACAAAAAACCCCAAACCCAAACTTTCCCAACTCTTCCCTACTTGTTCCCCTCCAAGGAAGCAGAGTTTTCAGACATAGCTGTCAAGCAAGCCCTCTAATGTTGAAATGATTGACAAATAATGACAAAAAAAAAAAAAAAAGAAGGAGGTAAACCAGTTAGATTTCACAAGAGACTGGAAGAACAGTTTTCTTCCTTCTCTTCCTTCACTTTTCTCAGTGAATTTAACTAAGAACGCCTAATCTCTTTAGTTATGATACACTGAAAGTATTTAAGAAGTCCTATTAATTAAATTGTATACAACTCATCCACATAATTTCAGTAATGAAGTCATGCAATTGAAGTATTAAAAAAAAACAAACTTACCCAAAGGCAGAGAGGAATACACAATCATCGTGTAAAATATTTGCTACTCTTTCAAATGTTCTGTAATTGTCAGAGTCCTTTTGCTCAAAGTACCCAATGATATTTCTTCTGCTGCGCTGTAAAGACAAAGATTACACTGTAAGTTATCTCAAATTATTAAGAACTGTCAATACTCCACAAGGATATTAAATATGGAGATGCTGTTTATTTATTCAACAGTTAACCAACAAGTATGCAAAACATTTCTTTCCAAATGATGCACATTAATACAAAGACTAAAAGATTTTAATCTTCAGAAACATCATTATGAGTATTTTCATAATGAAATATTATCATTTTGTCACATACAAGATTATTTCCAGATGATTAAAATTAAAATAAGTAATTTGGTAGTGGTGTTACCATAATAAGATTAATGCAGTTGAAGGAGGGATGATATTGGAATAATTTGTAAAACTGGAGTTAATGTTATTAGTTCTAGTTCAAAATTATCACTCAATATTTTTGAATGGACAAAGCCCCAAGAAGTAGAAGTGTTCTTCAAGTACGTTATCTTTCACACGCTTATACTTAGAAGGAAGGAACCTGAAAAACTTACATCAACAGTATTAATTTCTTCCAAATCCTGGACCTCCCGAATAGGATTGCTCTTCTGCTGTCTGATATAATCTGCTATTGCTGTCACAGACCTCTGGCCCCTGTATTCTCTCTTCATCATCATTCCATTCCGGAAGAGCTTCAGCGTTGGGTATTTGCTTATCCTGTATCTCTGAGCTATATCCGCTACAAAATCAATTCAGAAAAAAGTGTACCAATACAGAAGAACACTAAGCACGGTATGTTACACATCCATACATGCACACAGAAGTGGAGCCAGCGGTCACACGTCATTAAAGAACAAACTCAAAAAAATAAAATCACTACAAGAGAGAATGTTTAGCAGCTAAGCCCAGTTCTTAATGCTTTGCCTCACTGCAAAATACTGCAAAATATTCCAAAGTTCAATCTATCGATTTTGACTGAGAAAAGATTTCAGCAGTTTCTTAGATATCCTATCAGAGCTATTAAGGCACTAACTGTAGTCAAAATTGAGGCAATGAGATTTTTATCTCCAAAATTCATACTAATTTCTTGAGAAAAGACTAATTACCTACCAACATATTCACTATGAAGTGTCAGATCAATATTTTTTCCTGCTTTCCAAACCTAGTACTTTTTAGTTACAGTATGCAAGAGTAGCCTCCAAGAAGGCAGGAGAGAGAGCAGTGAGGTGCTGGAACAAGCAGCACAGAGAGGTTGTGGATGCCTCATCCCTGGAGGTGTTTAAGGCCAGGTTGGATGGGGCTCTGGGCAATCTGATCCAGTACCTGATCTAGCAGTGGCTACCCTACCTGCAGCAAGGGGATTGGAACCTGATGATCAAGCCATTCTATGATACCCTGATAAGCACAGCCATGGAGGCGTCACTTTGTATTTGTTCATCAGAAGAAAAACAACATAGGCAAGTCAGGCATTGCATCTGCTGCCTCTCTCTTGTTCATAGAAGGACCTTTGGTCTGACGGTGTGGCAGTTTATTATAATTTGACCAGGGTTTGATAAAAGACAAGGAGCCCTACGTATCAAGGTTACCCATCCAAGCCTCTCATAAAGCCACTGAGATTCAAGACTTCTTATGCTACAAAACTCCACATCCAGAGAACACCAGACTACCCATTTCTTCCCTCCACAACATGAACTTTTTCTTTCAGATACTTCCATTGTCAGATGATGATGCATGCCTTGCAGAATCCCCACCTTAGGAGGTCTTGAAAGTTACCCAAAACAGACCTTTCAGTCCCTACGGCTGTGAATCTTCATCAGGGAAAGAAGTTGCATAAAGAAATTGACAGTACTAGAATGCCCACTGCCAACACTGAATTTGAACATTGCTTCATAATGCACGATCTTTATAAATTACAGTGAGATTCCGTGAATACTGGTATTTGAACTAACACAGAGAGATGATAGCTCTACACAAGGAAGTATTTGAAAGCCACCCTTTCACAGAATATAAAATGCAAGTACATGAAAAACTATTTGAATTCATTCACAAGTCAAACAGAGTAAATCTTAAATGTTTCATTAAACTCTGGCATTTGATACAGGCAGAGTTAGCACAAGACGACCAACTACAACATTACACTCCCTTAAAATTGGAAATACACAATGCAAATACGTGGAGTATTGTTTGAATTCATTCATAGATCACATTAGTTATAGTAAACCCCTAAATTAAATTTTAAAATATTTCCAGACATTCTTACTGACTGTTTTCTGATGGAAGAAAAAAAAAGAAGTGCTTGAAAGAGCTAGATGGGGCTAATCTCCTTAAAGAAAACCAAACCGAACTTGTTTTGCATTGCCAGCCATTTCTAGCTCAGTGTCACATATTCCTCCACTCAAAGAAATGATGAAATCTGCGTTGGTGGGGGCAAGTCAGACTTTTCACAAAGCACTTCACTATTAGCTAAGCTACAGCTTCACACACAAATGCAGCCTATGGCTTCCTTCTCAGATGGCTTCAGAGTTCATTACTCCAGGTTAAGATCACAATACACCATTCAAAGAATTGAGCTAGACCATGAGATCACGTCACTAAGAATCCAAAGTCCACTATTCCTAAATTAAAATTAAAAGTGGAATGAACATACTAAAACCCAGCATGAAGACATGCAATTAAATTAGACTCCTACTGACGACGTAGATTAGAAGCTCCTTCTTACAAAAGGATCACTTACAACAATCTGAGTACGATCCCAAGGTTTTTCTCCTCTCTATTAAACTTCACTTACAGTTTCTTTGCTTGCCACTCTTTCACGAATGTGGCACTACATTCACCTTAATGATGTATTATGAAATACTTCACAACAGTTCTTCCCTCTTAAACCACTCCTCTCACGACTTGTGCACAATCATAAAACCTGGCAATATTCATATGAAACAGAGCCAGAAAAGACCCCAAGGGGCCACCTAAATTTGGCATCCTACTCTGATACTACAATACTGGTAACCTAAACAGGTACAGGAAAAGCAGTCGATGTTCTACATCAAACTCAGTTACTAAGAAGCTGAGAAACAGCAAATTCACACACCTTCTGCTGCAAAGGAGCATTCACAACAGCCTTGCCTACTCCTAGCGGAGCCTCATCAGTAGGTATCCCATCATCTTCTCTTACAGTCTAACAAAATGGCTTTTCTGAGGAGAGCCATCAAGAGCCTCCCAAACTACTACCATTTTTGTTTATTTTACCCCAAAACAGCTTTCAGACAGATTACTTCTTTCCTAGCTGAAATAGCAGCACAACAAAATCTGTATATTTGTTTACAGTTTCATTTAACTTCATTCCTTCTTCATTTATGAACCTCAAAGCTTATCACACTGAGTTACTTTGCTTAACAAAAGCACAGTAACAATACAAGTAATTCTTACTTGATTTTTTTAAGACTGACATTAGCACACCTTACAGATCCAGCAGTTCACTAACATGTTTCAAAAGAAGAGGAGTTCCCTATGGAGTCTGCCTAGTAAAACACTTCTCAACATTCCACTCATAAGAAGTTTTCTGTTTTGAAGCACAAAGAATTGATTCAAACTAGTTCTGTTCTTCGGGGTCTTCTGTTTTTTTTTTTTTTTGTTTGTTTGTTTGTTTGTTTTTTTGTTTCTTTGTTTTTAATCTTTCAAGCCAGAAACCACTTTGCGTAAAAGGAAATAACAGTATGGTATATTCACTTATTTACAGGAGAAGAGAAACACAGTAATTCTGTGGTATGAAGTGGGTTTCTAACATTGCTGCTTAACGCAAAGAAAAAAAACAAAAAAAGCACAACCACCTAAAGGTCAACAAAAAACCCCAACAAAGTAAAACCTTCCCAATAACACACATACAGAAAGATTTCTTATGATATTCTAAGGAAAGTCACTTCCTAGGTATTACATGCTTAGAATAAAGGTATAATTTCTCTAGCATAAGGTCTTACTAATTTCAACACACCAAAACCACTGAAGATTTTAACAGCAAAAAATGAAGTGGAACTTAGATACTTATGAGCTGTAGAAAGATAAGGTCTTGAAAATAAAGAACTTGCCTTAACAGATTTACCTTTAATGTATGTTCCACACTGGTTTAATGAGCAAAAATAGCCTAAAGACTTAATGTACACATTTGAATTATGATCATCTCCCAGAATACTGATAAATTAAACCTCTCTATGTGTTAATATTTAGAATTTTTTTTTTTTAATCACATTGTCGCCAACTATCGCTTCTCAGAAAAACATCTCTGTATTGCTTATAAGAGCAGACAGAATGCTGGCTTTGTCATTAAGCATCAAACGTTTGGCAGTGCATCAATAATTCTCTTTAATTTGCTTTGCCCTCAGAAGCTGGTGTGAGCTGCTGGGACCTGCGGAGTGCTTCAATAATAGTGCATTAAATGGAAAGTATCTATGCCTAGCTGACCATTTGAAAGCTATTTCTGAGCGTCCTGAAATCAGCTATTTGGGTTCCCTGCAGAGCATTGGTTTCAAAAAGAAACAGATTATTTGTAATGCAAATAATCCACCATCTCTAGATCATCATCTTAATGGCCAGCTACTAATGAAATCTGCAGGCATAAACACCCTGAAAATATTAGCACGTACCTTTTAGTGTTGCTAAAATACAGAAACAAAGCTAAAACAGGAGGAAACAAAACAAAACAAGATAATAATCTAAACTCCAACATTTAGTAAAGTAGTATAGGTGGTTCAGTGTGGATAAGTATAGTAAAAACTATTGCATACATTAAAATCATAGAGTTAAAATACTTCACTGTTAGGATATAACCAATAACTGTGTGCCATGAGATGTCCCATTGCTTACAACTGGCAAATAAACACTGAAAACCAGGAACAACATACAGGGCCTTATTATTTTAACTCAGAAAGGCAGTGCTACTTGGAGAAAAAGACTCATGTTCATGATAGAATTTTGTTTTTAATTTGCACAACTTACAGTTCGTGCAGCAGAAGACATGTTCATCCATTCATTAAATTAGGAACAAAAAGACTACAGAGAATCACAATCTTCCAGTACTAAAAAGAGAGATCATAACTCTTGGTTGCCTTATAACTATCTTTAACTATCTAGCCCACTACACTTATCGTAGGGGAGGATTTAATCCCAGATGCATTTATGGTCCCCACGGTCATGAACTGGTCCTACAGATCTTTGAGATGGGACAAAATCTCACTGGCTGTTCCCAACAGTTTGAAAAGTCAGCTTCAGCTACAAGTTGATACTGTTTACTTACTTAAATGTATTTTTATGCTTGAGATTGCACAAATTAGGAGTTCTGTTTTGTTGGGTGTCTACACCAACATACACAAAATGGAACACAAATTGCTGCTAATGGAAGATGCTCAACTGAAGTTACTGGCTTTTACATTTGCAAGATAGCAAAGATACTTCAAGAGAAAAATCCCCTCTAGTACCAAAACAGCTAGATCACCAAAATGTGAGAAGAAAAAAGTAAATACAATCAGTTACTTCTCACAGAGATGCAATTTTTTTTTTTTTCCATGTTCTTTCTCTCTTCAGTACTTGAAACAGAGCACTGAAACACAACAGTCAGGCCAGCGGTAAATCCCAAAGACGTGTCACAAACTAACAGAAATTCATCAGCTTTCCAAGTATGATTGTTCCTGCAGACTAACAACTTTGTAAAGACTAAATATTATAGTTAGGGTCAAGTACAACCAAATCTTTGTTGGGATTCGAGGCCAACTGGCAACTTTCACTACACTCTTGGATTCCTAAACTTCCATAAATAAACTACTGGGCAAACGTTGCTCTTCCAGAAGTACAGAATAGCAAAGCAAATCTTACACTAGGAAAATCACCACAATAATCTCAGTGCTACCCATCTGTTTTTCAGTAGGTAACAGATGTTCCTTACATTTTACTTATCATGAGATTAACAAGAAACATTTGGGATTAATATGATAATAAAATAAGTATCTTCTTCATGTATTTAGGGGAACATACCAAAATAAACAAATATTTCTTCATGTATACAAACAGCAAAGGAGAACAGCTCTGAAACTACCAAGTATGCAAAAAGCAGCTTGCAGTTCACTACAACTCTTAGAGAAAACAGCTGAGCAAAACATGTGCTGACCATCACTCCTTTTTCTTGGCTGTTTTGCACTAGTGCTTCTTGTTCCCTGGCCAGTTTGCTTTGTAATTACATTCCCTTTTTCTCCCAATAAACAAGAAAGGCTGAACTGATAAAAACTGCACATCTATGGAGAAAAAGAAAATGCAACACTGGAAATTGCCCTGACAAATTTTGAAGAGGTTCTGTGACACATACAAGCAACAGCCTCTGGACTAAATGATGGAGCAGGTCCAACCACACCTTAGACTGCTTTTTATTGGCAGGATACCACAGAAAAACTAAATTGAGATTTACTTACAGTGCTGATCACAGTCCACTCTAGCAAACACTACTTGATTCTTATCTGGGTATTCTTCCTTAATTACATTAGAAGCCTCCTCAAAAATAGGATGCAACATTTGGCTGAAGCGGCACCTGTGGAAAAAAACGCAAGGTTACAATTTCAAAATATTAACTTTAAAAAATTTAATTGCAGATTAAGGAAATATTTGAATAATTCAGGTGGAAAAAAATATTCTAGAAGAATACATAATTCAAGACGTGTTCCCATGCTTTATCAATTTAAGAAACAAGAGTAATCAACTAAGTCTTTAAGAAATATACTCTGACATTCAGAAAGTTTGCCCATCATTCTTTTCCTACCCAAATTATCCCTGGACAAGATCTAATAAAAGATTTGCACTGCTGACATTTAAGTATTCACCTATGATCACTTTCAAGAAATATCAGAGAAAGAACTATACAACTTCTGCTGTTAACCATATAAGTAATGCTTATTATATTATTGCTCAAATTTGGTGGAAGTTATGTCTAATTTAAGCAGACTGCTATTAGATTACTATGACAAAAGAATTTCATGGGATCCTTGTAGCCATGCCAGATTTTGATGAAAATCTTCTACTTCTGTGCATGAAAAAGGCTGTAGATGTTCATAAATGAGGCCCCAGACATTTTGGTGGTTTTGAGGAGGTTAAGGTGAAACCAGTGCACCAGTCCATCATTAACATATCAGTAAAAGAACTTCATCTGTTCTTCCAAACACACAGCAGATCTTTAACTTGAAGTCAAAACAGCACTACGGAAGTCATCAGGACAAGACCTCAAGGAACACCTCAAAGCAGACCTGCAATAAAGCAGCTTGCTCTGAAGGCTGGCGCATGGCAGCAAACATTCCAACTACAGAGGAAGGTTTTCCTCTCAAAATACAAGCAGGGCTGAAGCTCATCTCCCAAGACAGACCTGACTCTGGCCACAGCAACTGTACACCACGGTTATTTAGCATGTATACGTTACATATGGCTTCTTTGTCCCTCATTTTCCTCCACCATTACAACAGCACATCCACACTTGTCCTCATTCAATTCACGTTATATCATAGGCTGACAGTACACAACATTAGGAGTCTAATCCTGAACGTCTCTATATAACAATCCTAATTAAGGCTCTCATATTTTAAATTTACAGCCCACTATAATGGCAATCAACTTGCAACCTTAGACAACTACAACAGCAGGAACTGCAGCAGGGGCTGTGTTAACAGAGACCTAAACCAGGACTTTTGTTGTATTTCTATACCAAGTATTAAAATACTATCTTCCCTAGATCACAGGAAGCATCAGAACGCTAATTTTTAACTTTCGGTAGATTGCCTTCAGCAAATAGAAAAAACACCCTTTCAATGGCAACAAATGCTACACTTCAGTGTATTAGAACTACTCTCAAAAATTCTATTGGTTTCACTGTTCCTCATGTCAATAGAATTTGAAGAGGTGCAAACAAACTGAAAACAAAAATTGTCTATAAAATTACAGAGACATATGCAAAGGTTACTAAACAAATTAAATTTGGTATAATATCTATCATTAAGCAAAAATTAAATAAAAACTTCTTCACCGAAATGTCCATTTTATAAGAAAAAGCAAGTATTATTTTCTTCAAAATCACTTTCAAAATCAATTTAAATGAGCTGTTAGTAGAATGAATGATCAGTAAAGGCAAACTGTAACTTTATCTTTCATTTGTGCAACTTGCTATTTCTAGACCATACAGACCTACACATACATGGAATGTGAAAGAGGTGAAAAGAATCAGAACTTTAATCCGCTCGATGACCTTTGATTCTGACAGTCAACATTTTGTGCTCACAAAGCAGAACAGCAAGTGGAATATTTAAAGTACAACATTACCTTGGTTTATATATTTAAGTTATAAAGCTATATACACCCAAATTCAATTTAAACAAGGAACAGAGAAAGTGATTTATTTCTCTGACCTCATTTTCAATATTAATTTGCATATTAAATTTTATTTCCCTTGAATACTTTACTCATTTGCTTATTGTTAACAGGTTCTTTTAGAAATACTAATGCTTGAACAAAACATTTAACATTACTTTTAACGCTATCAAAAAATGAAGTATGGGCACTTAAATTCATTCTAACAATGATTTTATAGGCAAGTTAAAATCCAATCAAACAGTTCCCACTAAGTTTGTCTTTCACACTGACTGACCTCACATTCTTCCCTTTTCTACTTGCTCAAGTTTCACAGAATCGCAGGGGTCAGAAGAGACCTTAAGAGATCATCAATTCCAGCCCCCCGCTGAAGCAAGTTCCCTACAAAAGGCCACACAGGTATGGGTCCAGATAGGTCTTGAATATCTCTGTGGAATGAGATTACAGGCCCTTTATCATCTCTGTGGTTCTCTCCTGGATTCCTTCTAGGAAATCCCTACCATTTTTGAACTGAGGAGCCCACAGCTGGACACAGTAGTCTAGATGTAGCCTTACCATGGCAGAGCAGAGGAGGAGGATCACCTCCCTCAACCTGCTGGCCACATTCCTTTTAATGCACCTCAGGATACCATTGGCCTTCTTGGCCACAAGTGCACACTGCTAGTGTGGCCTACCTGCAGTTCACCAGGACCCCCAGGTCCTCTCTGCAGAGCTCCTTTCCAGCAGGTAATCCCCTAACCTGTACTGATGCACGCAGTTATTCCTCCCCAGGTGCAGGACTCCACTCTTGCTCTTGTTAAACTTAACCAGGTTTATCTCTTCCCAATAATCCAGTCTGTCCAGGTGCCAATGAATGGCAGCACAGCCTTCCGATGTGTCAGCCACTCCCCCCAGCTCTGTATCATCAGCAAACTTGCTGAGGGTGGGCTCTATCTGTTCATCCAAGTCACTGATGGAGATATTGAACAAGAACAGACCACCCTCAATTCCCTAGTTTTCCACCTGGAAGGCTTTCCATTAGAGATCAATTTGACTTCTTCGAACGTAATGTCATGCTTTTTGTTTACCAGTACACATGTAGGGGATCAACAGGGAGGAAAGTTAAAAATAAAAAAGGAATATTTTGAACAAATTTATGTTAAAAATCAAAAACTTTAATGAAACCTGTCTTGCTAAGAGTTAAAAATATAATAACAAACAAACAAACAAAAAAAACCAACAGCAGTAAACCAAGTTATTCCTTACTACTACAGAACCTTTTATTCTCTGACGAAGGTTCTGAATGAAATGAGAACAGTAGAAGGGGAAACAATCAAGACAAACACGTGCGCACACACACACACACACACACACACACACACACACACACACACTGCAAGACAAATAAAAACTAGCAGGAAAGATCTAGTTTGAAAGTAACGTAGTAGTGTATCTTTAATTAGAATATAATTGCTAAAAATAACAGTTTTCTAAAGGAACAAGTTTAAACATAGCGGAAAGAAAAAAAAAACAAAACTTTTATAACTTACCAATCAGCATAAAAATTAACTAAAGCAACATCTGCATTGTCTGGGAAGGCAAGAAGAAAAGAACCCAATGTCACATTGTGAGGCAAAGTTCTTGGCATTTTAATCTAAGATTACAAAAAATATGCATAAAAATATAAAAGCTAGAATTTCTAGATTGCTGAGCTCACAGTCTGCTGGAAAAATACCAGGATAAATCTTAGCTGAAATATAATCTATAGCAAGTGGGAATGTGATGAAGGAGGCCTATAGTCAAGCATTTTCTGGATATATTACACATTAAATATGACAATTCTTAAAGCATAAGATACAAAATAAGTAACATATCAGACAAAATTCTGAATTTACATTGAAGATACTGAAATCCAGAAGCTGTACTCCAGTACCCCTCTTAAACATTACATATTTGCAAGTGCTCAAATAGTTAAAAAGCTGAAGTGTTAGCTGTTCAGGTTAGAAGAATGACAACATGTGGGCTGCTGTGCAACTTGCTCCACATCTGTCTTATCTGTTAAGATACTGGATACAAGGGCAAAACGTAGCAGAGAAACCTTCAAACTCCCCCTCCAATGAGCTAAGGAAAACACTTGAAAAAATGTAATACTAAGTGATAAGGCAGCAAAATAATGCTCCATTCAATATTTTAAAGTAAAAAAGATTTCAAAATCTGAAAGACACGTGCACTTAAAACTTCCTGCTTAGCAATAAACTGTGATCTCTGCACAACAGAATAACCATGCTGTAAACTGATTTTTATTAGTAGTAATGGACTAGATATTGAAGAAAAATTGTAACAAATATTTGAATCATATGGCAGCAGTCACATAGCTCATAGAATGATTCTACATTTTTCAGCATATAAAAGGGTATTTACAAACAGTTTTTGTCTAGTCATACATTTACTACACAAAGCAATCCTGCAGTCGAAGGCAAATTAAAACCAAATAGCTCCTTTGAACACTTCTCATTAAAAAGGATATTTTTATGAATGTATTTGCAACAACACAGGGTTTTTCTTGTTCCCCCCTCTCCCTTATCCCCCTCCACAAACACAATTAGATACCAACAAATGGCAAAATGGCATCCTTTTCAGACAAGATACATCTGTTTACTTTAAGGCACTTTAAGTATTTTAAATACTAATTTGTGTCTCTTTTCTATGAGCCATTAGAAATCAAGACAACATTTAACCTGAGAAAAAGAACAGCTGAACAAGCAAGGCATTTAATATGACCCACTACCATGCGTTTCAGTTGCTGCTATTTTTTGGGAGCTCTTAAAACACTCTTCTGACAGGCTTTGGCTATTTATAATTGAAAGTTCTCATCTGCAAACAAGACACTTGGTATTTTTCTTAGACACTTCAAATTGTCATTTAAATTATACTGAAGTAATCTGTTAAGCAATACGTTAAGTTAGCTGTCTGCACTAAAACCTCTGTGCAGATTACAATTCATATTCTCAGAGCGAGGGTGTACATATTCATGTAATAACATTGCAAGATTCTCACAGATAAGTGACTGTATACAAAGTAGTCTGTACACTGTGCAAAGCGAAAAAAAAAAAAAAAAGAAGATTCAAAGTACTCACTTAAAATGTCATCTATATTTCCGCTATCTAGACTTGTTATTTCACTTCTTGTTGGATTAAAAAGCCAAGACACCTACAAGAGAAACCAAACCAGTCAGGTATGTAGATATTTCAACAGCAAAGCAGTAACACTTCAAAAGCTAGAGAGGAACAAACAGTGAAGTAACTACAAATCAATCCAAGCACACCAGATGATAGCGTTTGTCACAAATGCAAAAATGAACATTGTTTACAGATATAACATTCTTGCATTCTTGCACAGTTAAAACAAAACTGGTCATCTCTTCATATAAGGCTCTATGTCGGTAGAAATTTATGTTGGCAGAAATATTACTGATGATATTTGTACCTTTTAGAAAAACTTCCATTCTTAAATGTGTTCTGAAGAGAGAAACAAAACCAGCATTTTAGACACTCACCAACCCTGCACATTCCTAAAGAGTGTAGGCCCATCCATTTCACCCAGTGACAAATAATTTCTGATGCTACTTACAGGACTTGTCTGGCTAAAAGGTGTCACAATAGGTAATACTTGCAAACGCATCCATTTTTATTGCTTTTTAAGAAAATACAAGGTTGCAGCTAGTTTAATTAGATAGCTCTAATATCTACATGTAAACATATCTCCTGCATCTCATCACTGCCTCTGTATCAGCACATAATTGGCACAAACTTAGCAGACCTGGTAAGAACTGAAGAAACCACATCAGCCGTATCATTCAGTCTCAAAGCAACACATTGCTCTTAATGCACCTACCCTAACAGCACAGTTTTATGAAAGGGCATGCTCCCACATTCGCTGCAATAAGCATAGTTCTTTTACCTCAAAATGCAATGGAGGAAAGTACTAATGTGTGAATTGTAATATGCTTGTACTTTGGAAGATGTAACTGTACAAGTCTCCGATCACAATATAAACTCTTGATCTGGGATGCTGACATTTCCTACCCAAGCAAGCCAGTCAGAAAGTCACCCCTCTTAACTAGGGCCAGAGCGTGGACTAAATGCTCTACTGAGACATCTTTCAACCTATTTTCTCCAAAGAGCCTACAATCTTTCAGTTGAAAGGGATGATAGGAAAGGGAAAGGAAGGTTTTCAGTAAAGAACTGACAGAAATGCACACAGGTCAAGAGGTCATGCAGAAAACAGAAAATCAGACCAACACAGAATATCCTGAAGGGGCCCACAAGCATCATCATGTCCAACTCCTGGCTCCATACAGCACTACCCAACCCATTCAAACTCTACATCTGAGAGCAGCGTCCAAATGCTCCTAGAACTTTGGCACTTGAGGCCATGCTTGCTGCCCTCTGGTCTTTTCCTAATCAGCAATCCAACCAGAGCAGGTTACCAGAGAGCAGAGCTCAGCACTGCCCCTCTGCTCTCCTCATGAGGAGCGGTGGGCCGCCATGAGGCCTCCCTCAGTGTCCTCGAGGCCTTAGGTTTAGTTCTTGTAGCTGCAAAGAAACTCTGCTTCTGACCACAGAGGCCTGAGGGCTGCTTTTACTAAAGACACTGGGACAGGGGGAATAAAATAAAGCTAAGAACAGTATTCAAATCCCAGTGTGTGGAGAAGCTGGAGCACCATAATACGAGGATCTCAGCATTTCCAGATGAGCCTGAGACCTCTCCTAAAGCAATGCCATGGCAGTGGCTGACCACCTAAGAGTGTGATGGATTGAGGAAACGACTACAAGCAGTGAGCCCCCAGGGCATGCTTGTCTTTGACACCCTTTGCACTTCATCAAGAGACTAATTCAATGCCAAACATCAAGTCTTTCAGCATTTGTCACAAATGCATATCATATATCGACTTCCCTAAAACATTAAACATAGCGGATGTCTGCTTCCATTACAATCAGTTTTGAAAATGATGGGAATCTTTTGCAGTGAGATGCTGTCAATAAGTCTGAAGCTATCAACGGAAGCAGCACATAAGTGAGGTTTCCAGCAATGATTTTCAATTCCTTTGGATTTGTGCATCACTAAACATTTCTTGGTGAAGACACTGGTCTCCTTGTATTTCCCATATAGATTGCTGGGATGTACAGAGTCTGTCATACGCTAAAGGTTGACAGCTCAACAGCTGCTGTAAAGCAGAATGTCCATCACTGCTTTCCACTTGCTATCTAGACATTACTGTACAAATCTAAGATTCTGGAGGACCTTGCACAGCCCTCCTGTGGCACCTGAAGTCTACCAGAAGCAAAAGTCCAACTGCTGGCTTCTAGATGATGGTATAGAATAAAAAATTATGGTTGAATTCACAGAGGAAACTACCAGCAGAAGGACACTGTCTGCCATAAAGAATCTGAGTAAGCAAACTGTGGGATGCACAGGTTGTGGCAGCTCAGTATGGGGGAAGCACCTTTGAAAAGCTTTGTAGCTGACTGCAGTCTAATCAGCTAGAAGAGAAGACTCTGCCTTCAGTCCTTGCAGAGGAGATAGCCACCATCAGTACAGGCACCCCGCTATCACCCCTGGCTGGTGAGAAGGATAACAAAAAACCTGTGCTTTGTGAAGGTGCAGATAGGAGTACTTACATTTTTGGCAATTGGTCAGTTAAGCCTGAGTGAGTTAGCATACTTTTTTTTTTTTGGTACATGTTACATTGCATTAGATGTGTAACTGAAGCAGCAGTAATGATAAAACAATGGTCCAGCTGTTATTGTTAATGTAACAAATAGTATTACTCAAAATCCCTTTTACTGGCTGTCATCTGATCCAACCACAAGTGACTGCAAAATCATTAATGTACATTCCAGGGCTTCAGCTGCCCTGCAAGTTCTCAGAATCCTCTGGCTGTACGTTCGAAGATCACAGGGCCACCCTACCTGTACTGCTTACAATCTCCAACAATGCTTGTTTACTAAGAAAGACCACACAACCCTCTAGAAACTTCAAATGTCGTATTTTCTTAACATAACCAAACCAGTTAGATATCAATTTCTTAAACTACGTGGCTTTTTCTAACACAAATTTATAGCAGCAGCAGCATTAAACCCATCTAATTGGTTGAACTAAGCATAAATTAAACATAACATAGATAAGCACACCATTTGCAATCAGGAAACTGGTTGTGTTATTCAGCAGATGTACTTTAATGGATTAGGAACTGTAGTTTAATTTGTAGACTGCTACAATATGCCTCAACTTGCAATGTAAATATTTAACAGCAATATCAAACTGTAGGACTTCCTAGCAAATAAAATCCCCTACTAAACTTTATGCTACATACAGAAAAAGTACATTAAAACTAACACTTCTTTACAGAACAAATAAGGTTTCTGAATACTTTATTAACACTTATTTGCAGAAAAAATCTAGTGCAAGCTACAGGTACTGAAAAACAAATACCCCAGACATCTTCATACTGAAGCTAAGAATGAAGTTAAGCTGTAGATCCCACTGCCCCTCCAAATTAAACAGAAGTGGAAAACTATTGAGACTGAAAACTTATTTCCCCAAAAGCTACATAAATCTCCAGGTAACCAAAGTATTTTTCCTACTAGAAAGGTTCCATTTTGTCAAAATATATTCATAATCAAATTCTTAAACATTTCATACTGACTAAAAAATTGTGGTGTCAAAACTTTCACACTAAGTATACAGAGTTAATGGAAAAAAGCTTTTCTTTCAAGAAGTGTCTATAAATATGCAAGCCTCACTCCAGCTCAAGCTTTCATCAACGTATAATGCCTGTAAGGAAGAAAACGCACCCTTTTGACCCAGTAATCTTGCTGTCCCCAGAGATTCAAGAAAGTTTATGGTATTGCTAGTATTAATATTTAACATGAAGGAATACAGATTCTAATTCAAACTGTCAAGAAGCTACGCTGTTTTGAGAATATTTTCTGACCTTTGATGAGCCCCGTGAATGATAACCCAGGGGCACAAAAGAAAATATTTTTTGAGGAAATGTTTTCTGGACATCAGTTGCACACATTATAAGACAAGCCTTGAACTTACGTTCTGAAAAATATAGTGGCTAACAAAAAAGCCTTTTTTTTAAATTATGATTTTAACTTTAAGTGCAAATTTAGTATTCCATTGGCCTACATCAGACAGACAGACAAGTAACCAATTGCGTTTGTAACTGAGAAAAATAATCCGACTAACTGCACAAGACCACTACAAACTCACTGGAGAAATATAACACTGCAAAATGGTAACTGGTGATATAAGTAGCCAGTAGAAAACAATTCAGGCAGCTGCCCCTGTATCAGACAATTAACTACATTTTGATATGATGGTGCACGTTGCTGGAGTGAGATTGTACATGTTTTCAAATGCTAGAGCCACTAAAATCCAAAAAGAGAACTAAACAGTTGTGAAAGTCTGCCAAAAAATAAAGATATAGTAGAATATTAAAATTCTAAATAAGAGTGAAACTGCACAAGTCAGATGAACGTTGGCTTATAATTTAACAAAATACAGACTAAAAGAAAGAAAGCACAGAAACCATTTATGAACGCATTGCTAAAAAAAGTCAGGAGCCAAACAACACATTCAGAAAGATAAAACGTAGTTGATACAGGGGGAAAGGAAGAAGAGGAGATGACACACGTGTACAGATATTCCTCTTGACATCAAAAACTGTTGAATGTTGTCTGAATAGATGATCAGCTCAGTTTCCTGGAGATTTCTGAAGATAAAGCTGTGGATATTTTTCATTGGGGAAGCTCAGTGAGTACAGAAGTACTACTACTGCTGCTGCCCTAGTTTCTTCTAAGGAAATCTTAAATATTATGCAGTAACACGGCAGAGATTTCTTTTGCATTTGTCCTTCAAACCAGATACTGCACTGTAAGAACCAGTGAGGGACACAGGTGGAGATTCAGAAATCACAACAAAACTCACTTTAGGTTGGAGCAACTAGTGCTAGGAGCCAGTATGTACCTGTTTCTGAGAATCAACTGCACATTGGCTGACATTTATTTGTATTTTTCCAACAGACCACCTCAAAGCACTGCCAAACAGTGATAGTACTCTCTACTGAGGCATGAGACTACCCACGTTGCCTTATACAGAACAAAATGTCTGGAAAAAACCCATCCCATTCTCTTTGACAC